AGGTACATCAATACAGTCCGTCGAGAATAAGTGATCTTGTGCATGGTGAAGTGACCGCATACAAATGGACGGTAAACGCTTCACCTGATCAATAAAGTGATTCTGATGCATTGCATTTGACTGGAATTTCGATGGGATCGCCGAAGAATGGATCGCCACATTATAGGACGGCACGCGTGAAAAAGGCTCACCAAATAGTCGAGTAGGTCGAACTCATCGCTATCTTGATCCTTTTCCTTATCAAGTGGAAGAGAATGACGACTACGGTTGATGGAGGTGGATCTAAACGAACGCGTAAGAAAAGATTGTGAGAATCAGAACTTGTTTACCTTTAGGGGTCAAGGAATTGCAGCAAACGTACGCATGGGTCAATTGACGCTTAAGCTCGGCAAATTCAGCCTCTGCTCGAGCGACGTCCACCACGCCCTCTTCGGTGATTTCCTCGTTTTCTCGTTCATTTTTTTCAACAGCTTTGAGATCATTGATTTCGAGAGAGAGACGAGAACCAGCACGCGTGACGTTAGAGTCCCGTCGGGAAGGAGTGGCAGCCGGACGGATGTCGAGGTTGAGATTTGGATTGGTGGTAGACATGAAGTTATGACTCAGTACGAAAGATTGAGATAAGAAAATAAGTAGGATATGTAGATGGATTTTCAGGACGAGAAGTGGTAAAGAAGTGGAAAGGAAAGCAACGATATCAAAATTGCTATTTATAGACGATTAGATCACCAGGTTTTATCACGATTGTCTGATTAAAAATAAACGGCTGCCTTTTTACTTTGCAATTTTGATATTCATGAGTAATGATCTGTCCTTGACCAAGGTTGACCCTATAATCTCTCTTGTAACTCTGTGGTTGATTAAATCGCGGCCGGATGACTTGTTGTCTGAGCGCGGGTGACAGAGAGAGATGAAACGAAGGCACCGGTGAGCGCGAAGGAAAACCCCTGGGCCCTACCCCCCACAAGCCATATCGGTAAGCGTTAAAAAATTGTAAAAAAACTTTCAACGGCCGGATCGAACAAATGCTGTGAATCTCATCAATATATGTAACATGACTCATCCGATTCCTATGGTCCACGACTCCACAGAAATCGTGAAAATGGTCTGAAGATTGTCGATGCGATTCAGGAAGAATCCTTAAGCCATTGAAGCGCTGTGTACAAGGCGGATTTCCTGTTCTCTCTCACTAGCGATGCTTCGAGTATTTTGAACGATCCAAACGCCCTAAATGCTCAACCAACATAAGAAACTTGTGCGCTATTTTGATCACTAGGCCATGATAGATTGACCAGAATATAGCTATTTGGAAAGAACCAATATCCATGTCACAGGTATCACATGAGGCGAGATCAAGGGCTTAATACTTCTTTGATCAGGGATTGTGTTGTTTGTTTGCGAGCGCGTTCGCCGCACCTGCGGAGATTAGGGCATAGACCCAAAGCTTGTGCTGAGAGCCGCAGGATTTCAGGTCAATTTTGCTAGGGAGCTTAGCTTGACAAAGCCCATGTTGAGGCTCTCAAAGAAAAATCTTTGTGAGATACGATATACCACAGCGGGCTTTCCTTATCTTTCAAGATTGGTTTCATTCGTAGAGATTCATACACTTAGATTCATATCTAGCGGAGGCAACATTAGGGTAAAATTGCTGCACATTCAGAGTCAGGCTTTAGAACTTTCTATCTGTTTATTTTATTTCGTTATTTGAAGAGGGCGAAACACACAACAGTTATGCTACTATATATGCTTATTACTTTATACTGGGAAGGTCTTGTTAGGAGAAATGACTGGCAGTGGTTTCTTGTGATAACTGGTCAACTTATTTTGGAACGATACTGGTCTCTCACTGAGTGCGAAATCACTTCAAAAGCAAAACAGCCTCGTCTACCTGACTTGAAGCCCCAAAGGACAGAGCTTATTCGAGGCCTGACGCTGACGCGTCGCCTCGTACCGGGTTGATGGTAAACCAGCAATTTGGTTTCCTCAATAACGTCTATAGCCGCTGCTAAGAAAGAACCAAAAGGTAAACGCGGAAACTGGGATTTATAGTGGATCAAGTCACAAAGTCTCATCTCTCGCCTCAGTTGGGGCTTTTTAAGTGTGCTGAAGGCCAGTCATCTGCGTTCATCTACACTTCTCATTTACACCAGGGGGTAAATCGCACCGCGCGATAACGGTTTTCGGAGCCGCTCAGAAACGTGTGACTTTTAATTCAGTTGTAGCGATTCTGAGACGTTTTCAGCATTTTGGTCACAAAGGCGGTTCCCACCACCGCACGATGCGGTGGAAGGAAACCGCCTTTGTGACCGCTGGTCACGGTTCCACCCACCGTGACCAGCGGTTCCTGGAGCGTTCTTTGAGAAACCGGAGGAACCGCTGGCTCCGGTTGCTCATGCCGTTCCAGGAACGTATTCGAGGTACACACCAAGAAAAGAACAGAACCCCAGGGACTCGAACCCCTGCCTGTGGCCAAAAAAACACTAAACTCAGGGGCATCACTACCCAGATGGCACCCCGGGCAAACAGATGACGTTACATACGTAGCGTCGCCCCGACGCCTCGGGCCCGCGTGTGAAGCGTCAGATGTTACATATGCCGGAATTTGGCGGGGTCGGCTGTCAATATGTAGCGTCAACTACATAACTTGGCGTCAGCTACCTTTACTTATCCAGCCGACCCATCATCAGCGTCACCAACCGTCGCACTCATCCCCTGTCAACATCAACTATATTTTTGATCATGTCAGATTCATTGGTTCACTGCACTTGCACCGAGTGTAACACACGAATATGTACGGACGATAATGGTAAACCAGTTCCTGGCCAAATGGTTCATCCCAGAACTCGACGAAGGCATCTCGATAATCATCAGGAAGACCTTGAAACCCAAATGATGTCAAACTTGATTGAACAATTTGCTTCAAAAATGAAGGTTCCCACTGAACCCGAGCCAGAATACTCTTCGTCTGAATCATCAGACACAGTCGAGCCATCTGGAGCCACGACTGAACTAGTCTGTAAGTATTCATGTGCCTAATTCTCTCATCCTTTGCATAGCTGACAAACATCAAATCACGTTCACTTGTAGACCTTGTAACTTTTTTCATCGCTTGGATCTACTTGGCTTGTAGTATGACTCGTGCCAATTGTCGCGTGGCGCGAGATTACCTCGTCCGGATCATCGACTTGACCTCTCGAACTCGGCTCACCAAAGACTGGATTGGCTCTATACCAAAAGACGTGCGAACAATCACCAAGCGGTTGGATCTCGAGGCCTCAATCAAGCGTTTGGTCTGCTGCCCTATGTGCTTTTCATTATACGACATCGAGACGGCGCCTACAGAATGTGGTTATCGAGAGCTAAGCAACTGCGACCCATGCCAAACGGACCTATTCATCTCACACCAAATCCCTGAACTACCATCAATAATTCATAAACATCAAAAGCCGCGACGTTCTGGAAATAATCACAAAACGAGGACGCCTGTGTCAACTTTCGTGCTGCAAGACTTTCAGCAATGGTTAACTTGGTTTCTATCCCAAGTTAATGTTGAAGATGCTATCGACAAATGGGATGAAAAATGCAAATCAGAGTCGAATGGTGTCTTGGATTATGTTCAATCACAAGCTTGGACCGCTCTATATCCCGGAATCAAAACATCATCGTCCAAAGATAGCTCGTCTCATGTATTACGATTGGGGTTCTCGCTGTTCGTGGATTGGTTCAACCCTCTGGGGAACAAGATTTCAGGACGACAAGCATCAATTGGGATCTTTGCGCTTCACTGCTTAAATCTGCCACCTCAAGATCGTCATCATATCAGGTTCACTTATCTCGCTGCAGTCGTCCCTGCTCCAGGCCAACCGGACATGACGACAACAACTCATGTACTTGCCCCACTCATTGACCAACTAGTCCAACTCGGACGTGGAGTCATGATTCAGACACATCGACATCCGGAAAGACGCAAGGTAATAGTTCGGCTCAGCATTCTTGTGGGCGATACCGTTGCAAATCACAAGGTTGTGGGGTTCACGTCTCATTCAGGCACGCTCTTCTGTTGTCGGTGTAAGTGTCTGAAAGTCGATATCTCAAAAATGATGGTTGGACGTAAGCGAACTAGGAGGGAAGTTATGGATGCGGCACACTCTTGGAAGGCATGCACGACGATGGATCAACAAAGCAAAATGGTTAAGCGTACCGGTGTCCGATGGTCTGAGCTCAACCAGCTGCATTATTGGGACCCAGTTTCGAGTGTTGGTCTTGGAATTATGCACAACTGGTTCAAGGGGGTCCTTGCCAATCATTTTCGTTATCGATGGGCATTTGAAGTTAAAAAACAGCTAGACGAACAGCAATTGGACCAAGCCGAAATCGACTTGGATGCTCTTGAAGATGCCCTTGACGATACTACTGAATGGCTTACACCAGGTTTGATAGTTGCAATGCTCAAGAATTTGAGGGAGGTGAAGGTCCCTACGGGTATGACAAGAATTCCAAAGGGTCTTGGGACCGCTGCAAACGGCAAGCTGAAGGCCAGTGAATGGCACGCCCTGTTTGCTATTCACTTGCCTTTGGCAGCCGTGGACGTCCTCCTTGGGAAACACGAAGATTACATCAGTGGTCAAGCAAATCCTCACCTTGCGATCTTACTGCAAAATTTTTGTGCGCTTGTGGAGTGCACCCATATTGTGGCATCACGAGTAATTCGGGTAGGTGATTCCCAGCGATTTAAAGTAGCCTACTACAAATATACGACCACATCCAAAAAGATCGACCCAAATGTCAACATCAAGCCCAATCACCACTATGCCATTCATCTCGCATCACAAATGGAATGGTGGGGCCCGATGTTGGGGGTCGCGGAATTCGCTGGTGAGCGCCTGTGTGGATTTCTGCAGAAAATCAATACAAATGGGAAAGTCGGTGAGTTCAACAACTATTGTTTGTACCAATGCTATGCTTGATTGATTGACGAATTATGTTTTCCTGTAGAACAAATGGCTCAAACCACAATGCGCCGTTTTTGTCATCTTCAAAGATTACTCGCTCGATCGCCTCCTGACACGACGAATCTTGGAAAAAGTCAAAGAAACATTGGTCCGGCCTTTGAGGTGGACGATCTTACATACGACCATCTCTTCGATTATTATCATGCTCAGGATGATCAGTGGATTAACTTCAGGAAGGTACCATATCCAGATGGGGCGCGTGTCTTAGGACCTTTTGTGCACGAGGTCGCAGGGCTTGACGGACGATATGGCATTTGATACAGCAAGAAGTCCCCCAACAACATCGTAACAATTGAAGTTGATGGAAAGATATCTTGTGTGAAAATACTGCATATCTTGCAATTAGATGAACCTTTGGAAAAGCTAGCAATGGTGCAGGCATTATCAGAAGTTGAAGATGAAGTGCTGAATCCGGTCTTCAAAAAGTTAGGAATCACCCGCGTTGTTGAAGGATTGCACAGGAGAATCATTCCGGTTAATTTGATAGTCTCACCATTGGCTCATAGAAGACTACCAGCTTGGACCATGGGTCTGAATAGCCCTAGCTTACTTGTTATGACGTTGACTTCTGGAGAACAACACATAAACCCCGGAAATACTCAGGACATGGAAGAATTTTACGCTTCTCAAATAGCTGAAGAGAACATGGCAATGGACATTGACACTGATCCGACCATGATATGATAGTTTTAATATGTTGTAATATCTTTTTCCACTTTCGAAATCAGTCTGTATCTTCCGTTGTAATCTCTTTTTTTTTATATATGAGATTGAGTCTTGTGGTTTTACCCCACGTCCGTTATGAAATATCACCCTCTGACGTTTTAATCTATCCAAGAGCATCGAAGGCCGTTTCACTCCAATGTAGAACTCATGTTGCTGCTCTCTAACTTTGTCTCTGTGTTTTTTTTAAAAAACTATTAACATTGCAATTATATACACGAGAAACAAATTTTTTTGGTTTATAAGAATGAGAAAGCATAATGAGAACAGATGACAGAAGGAAAACAAGAAAAATGAACCGTACAACAAAACAAAGACTTTCAGAATGGGATCAAGCTGAGTCTAGCAAAAAGAAACCGAGTAAACAAGCCAATACTGAAATGAACAAGTGAAGAACAAACGCATAAAGAGGAAGGTACACAAGTGGGCCGAGAAGACAGGAAACAGGAATATATCTCAAGCATCATTCCACTTATCCCACCTGTTTGCACGAGCCTCATCTTCCGCCTCAAAAATTTCTTCATCCTCCACATAATACTCACCCGTCCCACGGATGGGCTTTTCACCAATGGGCCTTTCAAATTCAGGGGAATCCGCCCAATCTACCTTTGTAGCCTTAGCCTTACCCTTCTTTTTTTGCTGTTCCCCCTCCTCCTCCTCCTCCTCTTCCTCCTCTACCACTACCACCTCCTCCTCCTCCTCCTCCTCCTCCTCGTCATCTTCATCGTCAGTATCACCTAAATCTATTCCAGACTCCTCGTCTTCATCATCAGAACCAGATCCATCACTCCAATTTCCGACACCTACGTTCAAGTGTTCCAAGTCATAGGCCTTGGTCGCTCTGGCCCAATGCTTCTCGGTAAATTTTTGGTCGCTAAGCTTCTCGTCCGGATGAGATCTACCCATCAGAGAAACCAATGGATCCCGAAGAAACATTACGTTGAAGCAGTCTCCTATCATGTCGCGCTGCGCTTGGGAAAGGCTGGTGTTCCACCATTCTGGGTTGTAAAAGTCAAGCGGTAGGCCTTGAGGGGGCTTGGTGAAAGTTGACATGATTGGTTTTGCGGGACGAAGACGCAAGTGCGCTTGAGAACGTTTGCCAAGAATTGTGTCCGAATTTTTCATGTGCTCGTCCAAACGTCGTATAAAGATGTCAGCTTGCTCAGATCGATAGATTGGTTGTTTGACAATGTGGATGCCTCGCTCGGGATCAAGTTCGTCATCGCTGTGAGCATCGACCTTGCGCAGCATTTTGATGTACCGTTCAGGCAAATTGTGCGCCTCGGCGTGTTTGTAGCGGCGTTTGCAAAGCTATCAACTCCAAAAAGAATGAGTGTATGTTCGTGGTATCAAGGAAAAGCAGGGAATCGACTTACACGTTGACAAGCCCTTTGAGCTACCTTTTTTGCATCGTCTTTTTGATTCTTCCCAGCCTCTTTTGATTCCTTCTTGAACTTCTGAGCCATCAAATAATGCACATAGTGGTTGTAGGTTTTTTCGAGTAGAAGAAGGTTGTTGACAAATTTGGGGTCGGCATTTGGAAAAGCTTTTCCAGTTACCCACATTCGATAGATTCGGATTGCGCTGATGCGACAGGCCTCGTTCCAGATCGAGTCAGGGGCATCTTCCAGATTGGGACCCCATTTACGAATTCCAAGTTTGGCCAACATCGCGAGCGAATATCGGACGAAGAAATCTTGCACATATATGATCCCCCTACCAATCTTGACACAACCGGCTCGGGCTTCTCGAAGAGAGATGATCTCAGTTTGAGGAACAAGCTCCGTACTCTCTGCGGAATCGGCGACCGCTGAGATCTGAGCTGAATCAGAGAATTTCAAATTGAATTCTTTCAGAAGCGCTGGATCGGGGGCCACAGGTACTGAACCGGCCTTCGCCAAGTCCCAAATGACTCGGATAAAAGTGAAAAATGATTCCTAAAGACAATCATTAGGACTGAACTGCGACCAAATTACAGAATGAATGAAAACACACCTTTGTAGATGTAAAACCTGCTGGAAGCGTCTTCATCTCTAACTCATAAGGGCTTCGTTTGGGGGATGCTTTGGGCGGAGGGCCGGAAGCACGTCTTGCAGACTTCACAGCTGGTGATGACTTGGGGGTCGACTTTCGCGGGATCGTCGCCTTCTTAGGTGTGGCTGTGGAGCTGCGGCGTTTGGGTGTGGGGGTCATGCGCGAGGTGGTTGCAGAAGGCGGCTGCGGCATTGAGCTTCCGGCAGCAGGTTGGTCCTTCAATTTGGTTTTGGATTTTGACTTCGGAGGTGGTTTTATTGCAACGTCTTCAAACTTCTTGAGTAAGGTGTCGTAAGCTTGTTCGCGGGAATTAGCTTGACTTTGCATCTGGGCGATCACTTGCGTCTGGGCAGCAAGTTTCTTGGTGGTTTCTTGCAATAGTGACTCAAGCTGAGAGAGATCCATGAGGCCGATGTGAAAGAAGTAAATAAGCTATGAGGAGATGTAAGGGAACCAGGCAATATGAGTGGATAAGGAATTTTTTTGTTTATAAAAGCGAGATGAGTGACGGACCCAAGAGAGGCACTTACTTTGGCTTTTATAGGCCATAAAATATAGTCGTGCCATTGGATTAGCGTGGGCCAATTACGAAATTGTAAGAAGAACTAGCGTGGAATAGCGTCAGTCAGAACGAAAGGGGCTGAGGAAGTTCATCGGCGCTCACCAGTTGATGTTTGCAAATCCGCCTCGGCTGTGCATGTTGAGCATCGACACACTGAAAGGAGCCGAATGAGGTCATCAGTATCCGACTGTGCGATACAGTCCAAGACGCCGGACTAAACCGGATGATAGGGGATGAGTGTGACGGTTGGTGACGCTGATGATGGGTAGGCTGGATAGGTCATGAAGGTAGCTGACGCCAAGTTATGTAGTTGACGCTACATAATGACAGCCGACCCCGCCAAATTCCAACATATGTAACATCTGACGCTTCACACGCGGGCCCGAGGCGTCGGGGCGACGCTACGTATGTAACGTCATCTGTTTGCCCGGGGTGTGGACTATAGCAGCCATAACTACAGGGGAGTCTTGGCCGCTTAAGAAAACAAAAAACAAAACAAAGAAAACTAATCTAAATCTCACTAGTCAGTTAGGATATTAGAAAACACATTAGAATCACAAATCACCACTTATGCCAAACTATGTACTTCAGTTTCAACCACTTATAGTTCAAGTGGAACTTTAAAAGTCTCGGATTTCTTACCTCTTTTCTCAATCAAAACAAATCTTTTGATTTGGTTGATTTCTTTGATTTTCTTTGAATAGCTTCGATTCCTGGTATGAATTCGATAGTAGGAATGATTCAGTCTCGTAGAAGAAGAGATACTTTGATTTTGGCTTCAGTGGCTGGAAGTTGTACTTTTTTACTCTTACTGACGACCTTTAGATGATCAATTGGATTCTGAAATTCGATTTCTTTTATATTCTTGGATTCTTTTTTATTTCTCAAAATCTTATGGCCTTAAGAATCATTTGATTTTGGTTTTTTCATAGATTCTTTATATACTCTATGGTCCCTTTTCTTTCTTCCCATTTACCTTCAGAAGAGCTCAGACTTGCAAACATTTGCAAGTTACCTCAGTCTCGCACACAGGATAGGGGAGACCGCCTTTGGCCCGCGGTGACCGTTTCCACACGGTTACTGTTCAGTTCGACACCGATTTCAGCCGGTGTCAAAGAAACTACCTCACCACCGCATCAGCCACCGTTCTCAAACGGTGGCTGACGGGGGCTCGTTCCTGAACCGTTCGTGGAACGGTGTCCGAAACGGCATCGGCGACACCGGTTCCAGCGGTTCCTGAGCGGTTCTATTCACCGAAACTTTGGGAACGAAACTGGAGCCGGCCGAGGCCGAGGACCATTACACCACGAACCCCCTCTAACGGGTCCTCAGCCGGGGTCGAGTCACGGTTGAGGACCAGGTTTTTCTTTGGTGGTGACCATCGTTGGCCACACGTGGCCGTTTTACGGTGTTGTAACCCGTGTTTTGCAAGACTGGTGATTCAACCAGTTGTCACTTGCTCGAAACTGGTTGAGGCCATCAACCATCATTGGTCGCAAGGACATGAATGCCTTGATTTATTGACTCAATAAATTTTGTCACTTTGTAATTGTTTAATGAAACACAAACAGAATATAATATTGCAGATGACTTCGTGTTAATTGCTATAATTGAGTCGACTCAAATACATAAAAATCCACATTGAGATTAATGAGAAATCAAAATAAGAGTTGACAATGATATACAAAAAAAAAGACGAGGGAAAAGACTTATGTACAAATGAGCCATTGATAAGAGATAAAATAAGAGATAAAATAAGAGTTAAGAGAGATCAAAGAAGAGTTAAAATAAGAAATCAAAGAAGAAATGAAAACATAGACCGAAGTAGTCTGTATGTCATAGAACCATGCATCAAACCTAGACTTCGTGTACATGCAACACCTCGTCTGCTGACTGTTCCGTACCAAAAGTTTGATTCAAATACTCGATTTCTTCTTGAATTTGTGTCTCAGTTGGCATAGAGAAGTCAGTAGATTCCTTCAATTGGGCAAAATTCTTGGTACCATCGATTCGATTGATGTCATTTTGGTCACATAACGTAAAAAACCTGTGAAATTCCCCCAGTAAGTATTTGGAAGGTGGTAGTATTTCAAGGAGATAGTATCACTTACGCGTGACGGTATCGTGTGGATTTAGTGCGTAAGTGTTCCAATTGTTCATCGATGACATCCCACAACGATCGGGAGCCATACTTAAAATTCTTTGTATTACGGTTTAACCCCCAGTGGATTGCTTGCATCCTCTGATAGGCGGACATAGACAGGGGTAAGTTATAAGGTATGAGTTGCACATAGATAAACAACATGGTGAACTGACCAGCCATGCATATCGTGATGATCAAAGGTAGCCTACCTGGTCGAGTACCTCTTTGGTGACTAGAACTTGCCCACTGACACCGTGTTCCTTTTGGTACAGCTGTGCATACGGGGAATACACAGGTTCAGCATGTAACCACATGCCACGATCAAAAGTTACTTACTTTGACAATTATAGTGTCCAGAATTGGTACCGGGGCATCGACACGTGGTGTTTTTCGATCCGGAAGATAGATGTTTTGAAGGAGCTTATGATGGTTGGTCAGATAGGTGGACAAGTCAAGCAGGCATAACAGAATGGCTTACCACAGTTTCAAAATCTTTTCTGACCTCCTTCAATACAGTATTTACCAAGGAATGAAATGCACGGCTGGATTTGTTGTCTGGGTCAACACCATATCGTGGTGGAAGATGTTCCTTCTTCCATTCGGTTGGTTTACCTAAGATGTCAGTCTATTTTGTTAAACAAATTATTAGTTCTTGAAGAAACACTTGAAGACATGGGAAGCGCATTTACCATAACTTTTCCATACAAACAGAAGGGAAGCGGGTCCTCATTGATGAATTTGTTCTCCTTAGCGGTGTATGCCTGAAGATCACCGTCCATGATTTTCTTGAGCGCTGTAGATCGAACAACTGCCTATAGAGATGATGACAATGCATTCAGCAAATGTCAGATTGGTTCAAATGCAAATTGGAAATATTATTTTCCAAATGGGACTTAGCAGACGACTTACTTTGAGTTCAGTGTGCTCTTGTTCTTTCCAAGCACAGCCTACTCCACGAGGTATTTTGCTTATTTGCCTCTTGATTTCTTCCAGCTGATTTGATAACACTATCATTTCTTGGCGCATCGATAGAGTGGCCACCATGCAGGCATGGAATTGCTCCTCACTACCAGTAACCTGTCAGATACGAAAATCAGTAACGGTTATTAAGGTTTCATTGGTTTGTCTAACTCACGTTACATAGCTTTCGTCCAACTGTGCGAGCATCTTGATCGAGATCCGCCCAAGTAGCAATTCTTTCGAAGGATTGGGATTGAGGTCCGGTCATATGGGAAGAGAAAGCAGTCTGTCTGCTATGGTTGTTCAACATAGTTCGAGACGTGTTCCGGACTGCGACACCTTCGGAGGCTAAGATCACAGAAATCAATATGATCAATTTCGATCTAATTCAAAATCGATGGATAACTTACGATGATTGTCTTCACGTTCATCCTGTTCACTGCTATCACGATCACTGCTTTCTTCGGGTTTATAAGCACTGTGGTTGGTTCCGTTGTTATCATCAGAGCCAGCGTTGAATAATTTTAAATCATTCTGATTGAAAGGTTCTTCGGAGTCTTCCCTCTGTGAATCCTCAGCGGCCTTTTGAGGAGATCCATCATGTCCTTCTAAGTTTTTCTGATTTTCTTCGACAGGATTGGACCTTTGGGAATTGTGAGTTTCGAGGTCTTCCGTTGTTTCACGCTGTTGATGTCTGTTTTGATATCGAGTAGATCTTGAAACCGAGGACCTTGGAGTGTTGCGATGAGTCGAGTGATGAGCTGGAAGACTTGGCTGTGAAGCAATTGGACGTTGGTACGGCTTATATTGTTGAGGACGAGTCGAACCGGGCGAAGGCGAGGATGGTTGGTTTTGTGTGAGTTTCCTTTTTTGAGAACGTGTGGATGCACGAGAGCCTGAAACGCTGGGAGTGTTGTGATTCGAGTGCTGTTGTTGAGGACTGGTTTGCGATTTGGTGGCCCGTTGGTAGGTCTTAGATCGTTGACTGCGAGAAGACATTGGTGACGGGGAAGATGGTTGGTCTTGAGTGTGAGGGAAGATGCGAGGAAACAAAAAGAGAAATGACATGAAGGAAATGGAAGTTGAAGTCGGTGCCCAAAGACAATTTCAAATTATAGGGTCCGGCCCCGCGGTAGAAGGATGTGAACGTTTGAGATTTCCTCACTCAGTCGATGTGGCACAAAAGATGATGTTTTTGAAGAATGCAAGGCATTGGAGAAGTTATAAGATTGGACAAGTATAAGAGAAACTGTGATAAGGTGTGCGCGAAAGGAATGTTATATAATATCAAAGAAGTTCATCGTTCAAAAGGAATATTATTGTTCCTTAAATAATAATGTTGACGATATCGATGAATCTTTCTGATATCTTCAATTTCTCTTGCCCTTTGAACACCGATTGACTTGATATCTTTGCAAGTTAAAGGAGGTACTTGATTTGATATCTTAAAAATTTAAAGGATATCTTATCCTTTGAACGCCCAAAGGATAAGATGTCATCGGATATCTTTTCCTTTGAAGGTGAAAGGATTGTTATTGTCATGCTGATCTTGTGGTGTAACCTTTACCTTTGAAAGTTAAAGGTTATATTTTCTTTTTAACACCGAGATGATCTGAGATGAACTTAATGGAATGCTCATCTTCTTGTAAATAGCAAGTGACCCAATTAGTCGGTGTTTGAAACATTCAAAGGTTATCTTTTAAGTCAAACAAATCTAATATTGGGTTACAGGATATCTTGGCAATATAACGAATTAGATGGTGTTTGAACCATGCATTTTGTATTTATCTTTTAAATAAATAACAAAACGTTTGTTTGAGTGTTTGATTGATTTCTTTGCTCTTGCGAAGATAAAAGATGAAGTTGAAATTGATCATATGTTGCACGATAAAAAACAATTAGACAAAAGTGAGAATAAAGGTTGATTAAAAATATTGTGACTTTGATCAAATTCTTAATCATACATTACAGTCATGAAATAATGTGAGAATTGAAACAAACCCTTGCATTTATGTTTTCAGGTAGAATTGGAAGGGCCAGGTACAGGTTGTCTGCTTGATAAATACCTATCAATAAGCTTGGAGTTGGAAGGTCCAAACTGTGCCGGGTTTTGATTTTGATTGCGTTTCCTTTTCTTGTGTGCAGCAAATTGACCCGTTTGGCTACCTAACAATTTATCTTTTTCTTTTTGCCGCTTCTTTTCTTTTGAATCGTCTTTTTTTTAACGGCAGCTTCCCAAGTCGCAAGGCCTTTTTCCACAGCCACAACCCAATCATCGGATTGGCTGTCTTCCAATTGTATCCTAGAATACTTACGATGCATCTCCGCTGAATAGAAGGCGCCCGAGTTTAAGATGTGATCCATGGTACTTTCGTGAACAACAGCAAAATCCAACCTTTTCGACACACGTCATTCAATCATGGTCGGCCTCACTTTCTTAATGTTACATTTGCTTTTATAGCAGTCGTGTTGGACATTGATAACACCTTCTATGTCCTACGTGTCAAATACAAATCAACAAGTTAGTGATTCACTT